CTGAGCTTGGAGAAAGTGGTGCTTGAATATTAGCCAACTCCCCTGGACCCCCTTTCCTTCTAGGCCCTGGCCCAGGGGATTCTTCCAAGGAGGTCCCTGAAGAAGGCAGAGTTAGTTCTCTTGGAGTCCTGGGTTGCAATCCTTCTTGGCCAGAGTGCAATCTTCTGGGCATTATTTATGAAGTACATTCATGCTTCTACTTCTTCTGTTTACCTTAGAAACAGGGGCAGATATGAAATATTGACTCAAACGTGTATATATGCCCAAGCCTAAAACTTGTTCGCTTTGTGGAACTGGTTCAGCTACTGAGCTGTATGGCTGGAATTCACCACCGTGTATGAGAGTCCCACGGATGTCTTTAAAAGCAACCTTGCTTGAAGCTTACATAACACAGGGTCACACTGACCCGTAGGCTTCACGTTGCCTCCCTACATGGGGAGATTTCTGGGCAAATATCTGGCCAAACTGTTTTATGATATATGGGGAGTTTTTTACGGCTCGATGGGCTCTGTGGGAGTAGGTGACAGCTGGGGCAGGAGCAGCGGCTGCGCTCAGAGAACAGAGTAGGTCAGACAGTGAGAGATTCAGAGGAGGTGAAGAACGAGGGGAAAGCAAGGAGTCAGACTAAGAAGCGAGCATAGGCCTCTAGAAAGGGATGTCCATCTTACCGAGTTTTAATGCTACATCTTACCAATAGATACTATACATCCATACTCCAATGACAGTATGGACTTCCATTCCAATGGTTTATAAATAAGGCTACCCCCAGGAGAAATGTTACTTGGATGGTCACCATCCAGGCCTCCAAGATCTGACATTGTTCACTGGGTGACTGGGCAAAATCCTTTGCCTGTGACTTCCCAATCACAGTACTTTGGAGGGCATTCAGAGTACATTTCGGAGGGCAGAATATACACAACTATATGTCTAGTTTTTGAGAGAGACTTGACATCTAAACAGTGACTTATCTAGGCATGGCTTTACTGTTTCTGTTTTAGTCAAACAGGTGTCATCATAAAGGACAAGCAAAAAATAATCTCTGAAAGTGCTTAAAACTCATTCCTCCTCTTCTGCTCAAGCCCTGAGAGTCTGTTTTTGGGTGTGCTCCGAAGCTGACTGGTTCAGAGTCCTCTGTGCAGTATTACAAATGATTTCTGGCACATCCGTGCAGCGGCTGCTCTTTATGAGGGGCTCTGTCCTCTGGACCTGTGCTGGTCGGCGATGCAGCAGAGCACAGACTGCACACGTGTCTCCCATTCCCCTTGCTTACTCCCCATGCTGCGTGTGTTTCCACAGAGGCATTGGAGCTAGGCTCCCAACGTGCCTCTCTTTCTAGCTGGGGCAGCTGTAACTCGACTCTGTGGGCCTTCAGCAGCTCTCCTGTTTGCTCCAGGCGTCGGGCATCCTTTGCTGGCTCTGGAGTTGGGCTGCTGTGAGTGGCATGGCAGGCCATCCCCTACCTTATCACCAGCTTCCCTGATGATGCCCCCTTCCCCGCCGAATCTAGTTTAAAGCCCTATCAATGAGCGCTGCTAGATCGTGACCAAGGACCCTCTTCCGCCTTTGGAGAAGATGATTCCCATCTGATGCCAGCATGCCTGTGGGAAGGCAGCTATGCTTTCTGCTGCCAAAGAATCCAAAGTTTGGGTGATGACATGAGCCACAGAGCCACCTGTAAACAGATTGGACCCTGATGTTCCTTCTTCCATTTCCAAGTGTTGCTGCATATGTGCCTTGAGGAGAAACGTCTGTGGCTGCTGGGGACGCAGGGAGCCTGGTCTGCCCTGGAAGTCCCGTGGGCTCAGCACAACAGTAGCGTTTGCCTCCTCACTGTGGGAGAGCCTGAGGAGGCACCTCACTGCCCTGGGCATGGCTGGAGGGCCAAGCACTTTCCTTTTAATTACGGAAACGAGTCTGGGGATGCTCATCTGGACAAAATTCCAGGAGCTTGTCGAAGCTTGAGGCATAGCGCAGGCTGCCATCGCGCAGGACTGCGGGAGCTGCACGTTTCAGCAATGCTATACGTATGAGTCTCTGGGCAACTTGTCAGAGCTTTACAGCCCAAGGCACACTTTATTTTGAGAAGTGAATAGGCCTGGGGCTTTAGTACTACCAAAAGATAAAGTAAAGAACGTGGTACCTCTAACAATAGAGCAATGTGCTGATTCAGCAGAACTATCTTGCCTATACTACCATAAAACAATGATCATGCTCCTAAAAAGTGAAGGGTTTTTAAGAGAAGAGACTTGTTAGCACCTGGGAAATGCAAGCCTTTCAATCCCTTCAGCTGTGCAGGGGATGGAATTTGTGATTAGGGTGGGCCTAATGCAGGGTGATTGGCCACCTGCAGGGCATAGGTTGTTCTTGCTAGGGAGAGGAGCAGGCAGCTGAGTCGGTCTCTCAGCAGTTGAGTCTACCGGGTGGGGAGGAGCAGAGGTGCTGTTCTACAAAGGCTCTTGAGAGCTCCCTGCCCAGGAGTCTGCTGGGGTGCCCTTACCTGTGGCAAGCATCTCATAACTTGGTCTCTTTTCAGAGTTTGATAGTTGAAGTATATTCTTTGGCTGACTATTGAACTTCTAAAGCGTTTTTTTTGTTTTGTTTTTGTTTGTTTGTTTTTTTCCCCACTTCGTCCTTTTTTCTGCTTTTAAAATATACTCTGAAATGAGAAATTCTTTTAAACTAAACTATCAAGCAATGATTTTACTAGGAATTGATTTCACTTCGGTCATCAAAAAGGGGCAAGAAGGAGGAGCTGGGAAACTACAGGCCAGTCAGCCTCACCTCTGTCCCTGGAAAGCTCATCTTAAAGACCGTCTCTAGGCATGTCAAGAGAAAAGAAGGTGCTCAGAAATAGTTCTGATAGAAGCTGAACCTGGAGTATTGCGGACAGTTCTGGGCTCCCCAAAACTGAGAGGGGACCCTCTAGAGAGGGTCCAGCATAGAGCAATAAAGATGATTAAGGGACTGGAACATCTATCGTGTGAGGAAAGACTAAGTGAGCTGGGTCTGTTCATCTGGAGAAGATTGAGATGAGACCTGATCAATGTGTACAAATATCTCAGGGGAGAATGTAAAGAGGATGGGGCCAAATTCTTCTCGGTGGTGGCCACTGACAGGACAGGGGTAATGGGTACAAATTAAAACACAGGCAGTTCCTTCTCTATGTGAGGAAGAATTTTCCTGTGAGGGTGACAGAGCCCTGGAACAGGCTGCCCAGAAAGGTTGTGGAGTCTCCTTCTCTGGAGATCTTCCAAACCCACCTGGATGCCACCCTGTGCTCTGGGTGTCCCTGCTGGAGCAGGGGGGTTGGACTAGATGATCTCTAGAGGTCCCTTACAACTGCAACCATTCTATGAATTTCACGCTGGAAAGCCTTTCTTCTCTGCTTGTCCTGCTTCAGGGAGCTTTTGTATCGTAAGTACACTGGCCAGCACTGCCATTCACAGTAAGTCTGGGTATCACTTTCAGGATTTACTACTGAAGCAAAGGTGTAACTGTTAACAAATAACAACTCTTTGGGGGAATTTGGCTACATTTTAGGAATTCTTTAAAGCAGAGATATATTCTTCTGATGATTGTGTGCATGATGATGGAAAGCATGTATTTCAATGGTGTATTTGCTATTATCACAACTCCCCCAGCAATTTTAGTTAAAAGAGAAACAAAGCACAGGTTGCATTTTCATTTTCCCCATGCAAGTGGTAGAGCGAGTCTTTCTTCCATGCTCTCACTGCAACTTTATCAGCTCATCCAGCTGTCCTCATGGAAGTCTGAAGCATGCTGCACAATTCCAGCTATGAGTTACAGCTAACAAGAAGTATTTGCCTGCCAGAAATAGCTGTAGAGATCAACTGAGAGGTGCTCACATGATCCAACTTTAGATATTTGACTTTACTGTCTCAATTAGCCAATTAATCTCGCTAGACTCCATCTGCAATAGACAGTCCTTTTTCCCTTGTGCTGGCTGTAACATGTGCCAGACTCTTCCCTGAGATGATTTAACTCTTTAGCCTAGCAGAATACTCCATAGTTAAATCAGTGTGTATTGTGTCTGGTGTGCATATTGCAACTGAAAAAAGGCAAAAAGCAGGAATAACTAGGAGAACGCAATATTTTTCTTTTAATGGCAGTGGGTTGAGCTGCCAATGCTGGAATCCTGGATATAACTTAAAGCAAAGACATCATGCATGAGTGTAAATAGAAGGAAAGCATAAAACTGAATAAGGAGTTTCACTGGGCAGAATATTTCCTCTTTTAATACACTGACAAGCCGAAATTTGTAACTAATGCAAGTTCCATTTTATTCATGGATGATAAAAATGCTTAAGTTTGTGTCACCGCTAACAAGGCATGTACTGCTGAACTGGTTTTGCTAAAGAGATTTGAGTGATTTTTATTTTATAAAATTTAACGCAGCCTGAAGTTTGAACTACAAAGTTAAGCTCTGGCTTTATTGCATTACCATGCACTGTAAATTACTTATCCAAATTCTCCATAATTTGAGCTTCATTTCTATCTTTATTAACACAATGCATCAAGAGATAGCATTTCTTTTCTTCTACAACCTCTGCTTTGGGTTCTAAATGGTGTAAATACAAAGTGGAGACATGTCTACTTCTTTAAGATGCTTGGCAATATTTGGGATTGAGTATTTGTGACTATAAAATGAATGCTGCTCTCAACTGGCTTTTTAAGGTGATTATTCAAATCTTTGAAAATATTAACTGTAACTTTCTAAATGTATGAGCTATGTATTATTCTTACCTGTGCTCTTTTTATCAAGAGCAACTACTGAACAAACCAGCATGTTTTGACTTTGGTCTTTTAGTAGAAAGACATCTTCCACCCACTCCCCATTTACTGTGTCTCAGAACTATTAATCTCTGCCAAAGAGGGATTCTTCATATTCTAAGTAAAAGAATTGGGCTGCTGCTTTCCTGTACAGAGTGTGAAAGGCTACTCAAGCACTCTACAGCTTTATGTACAAACATAACCCATTGATTCTTAAGCCCTGTTTTTTTCAATTTTCCCAAAGAAACAACCATATGGTTAGTTTTATGTCTACTAGGTTGCTTCTTTCCCATTGTTTCTGTAGCTTATTGTGTAATAGTACATTTTGTGTATTCAGAACTCTCTTGAGTGCAATAAGGAAAGGTAGATGAAGTGCAGTGTAGAACTTGCAGTTCTTTGAACTATGTACGTGTGAAAGCAGACAGTGAGCACAGAGTGTTTGTGTCTGACCTTGATGCTCACATCGAAGGTGACTTCTTCACCTTTTTCACAATAAATGCAAGCCTGTCATCTTCCCTGATAGGGCTGTTAAGTAGATTTCTGTTAGTAGCGGTAGTCTCACCTACTTTTGCTCTCCTTTTCCTCAGTTTCTGAAATTTCATGGTTTGCGCGGCTGAGTCTGCGAAGCTCAGTCTGCTGAAGATCAACTACAGCACTACGAGTTCCAATAGCAGATCAGTAGTATGGAAAATCTAGACATCCCACGTCAGCTCTATCACTTGTTGATGTGATGATGTCAGTGAATCTGTAAAAACTCTTTTCAGCTCCCATGCACCAGATCCCTCCTGGACTTTTTGCCTTCAGCTAAAATAGGTGCCATGGATATGATAGATGCCTTTGAATGTGGTACAAAAGTGGAAGGAAGGATATTATGAGGTACAACAGGACTACAAGTTGAGAGAAACTCTGAAAATACCCACTTGCACAGAAATAGGTATTTTCTGCTGTGATGGGTTCTTTATCGTATTGATTTTAAAGACTGGCAAAAGTGAGTTTATTGTGTGACTCTCTGGAGAGCACAGTAGCAGGAATTCAGCTTTGATTGCCAACTAGGTGAAATCCTTTATGTAGAAACTACCAGGCATTTTTGTCTTATTACATGCCATTGTAGCAATTGTAGCAATTGTCATGTAGTATCTGTAAAGTGACTTTATATTGTGTCATACAGAATATTTTAGGTAACTTCTGAGCATGACAGAGTATTCTGCAACCAGCAAAATGCTTATGAATACTCAAATTATTCTTAATAATGATGCTAAATTTGCATGTTGCTTTTTAATTGTTACAATAATATCACTGCTCTTAGTTTGCCTATTTTAGTTCTAGTTTCCTGAGGAACAATAGGGAGAAAAATAACAAAGTAAATAGAAGAGCTTTGCTATACTTAGGGTTAAGATAAGAGGAGTCCTAATTTGACATAGCATCATTCCTTTTATCTGAAGACTTGGGAGACTGGTTTTGAGTTATTTTTACTATCTTTGTTAGTCTCAATATTAATGTTGTAGCAAACTCTCTTTGTTTACTGATGAAAAAGCCAGTTAAGTCAGCAGAGGGCTAGTGAGCTAAATAACAAAAACAGGAATTATCTGGGCTTTTATTGATCTGTGCTTCTCTTGTCTTATGTTCTTGCCAGGGCATCTACAGTTGGCTGCTGTTGGAGAG